TGTTCTGCGGGGTTACTCGGTGTTACTTGAAGTTGCTAATAACGTTACTTGTTCCACCCCTCGAAATTGCAGTATGGCATATGAGACATGTCGCCGTTTTACTACCTGGTTGTCCAGTCTGAAATACTGCTAAACAGCGGACATACTGCTATCGCGCGCGCGCGTTTTCTTCTTCGCTGCTCTAAACAGTGGTTCCCGTGTCGTCACAAGTAACCACTGTTTAGAGCAGCGAAGAAGAATTGATCTCCGATTTGCAGCGTTACGCAAAGCTAGCGTGCATAACTAGTTATTGTTTAAGGCCCTGTTTACACGAAAACGATTCCGGGTGAAAACGTAATAATATTTTATCGGATGTGCCTTTCGTTTACACGGCGACGGCGTTTTTGGGGCTTAAAAACGCAAAAAAGTGAAACCACCCTCCAAAGTGGAAATCTTAAAAACGCTCCACCATCGCGTTTCCGTCTAAACGGGTAAAAACGCAAATCTGCTCATGGCGGCTCTCGTCGCGTACGCATTTACGTCACAGGCATGCGCCAGTACAGGAAAATAACAACCAACATGTCGGATTATTTCCATACGTCGGACCTTCAAGTTGCCCTAGCAGCTCTGATAAACGTCCAAGAGTCTTTTCAATTTCGCGCTACTAGGGAGAGAAGTAAAAGGAAGGTTGTACGCAGGCGCACGGACTTGTTGTTGTTGTGTGGCAGTGCTTCACATTGCCACCTAGCCGCCTGGAGTGCATACTACATCGCATTTCTAACACTTTTGCGTCTCCATATGCACGCAGATTTCCCCCCCATAACGCTCGTCTAAACGCAGAATAAAAAGTGAAAACGAAACGCCACTTTTGCGTTTTCTCTTCAGATCGTTTCCGTGTAAACATGGCCTAAGAAAATGGTATCGGATCGGTACGCGGATAGAAGTACTCGCCGATACCGATGCCAGAATTTTTATTGGTATCGGTGGCATTTCTGATACTAGTATCGGAATCGGAACAACTCTAAAAATGATGTATAGTTTATCAAGGTAGTTACATTACATTTAACTGTAACTTAGAGCTCATTTAAACAAAGATTCAGTGTGCCGGGTCCTCGTGAAGGTTAATGGGTTAATACATCTGAGATGATTTGACAGATGCCAGATCTTGAAATAGTGATAACTGATCTCTGGCTAATTTGGTTCTTTAAACGAATTTGCGTATTGGATTAAAATATCTTGATTAAGTTGTCTGAGATTACTGTGTGTTCTTGTGTCCATTGGAAAGGCCAGATGTATATCGATACTCGAAACCATGAACAGCAATCCAGTGATTGGCTGGCTGTAAGACAGCAACTTATTGACTTATTTATTTTGTATATTGTGGATACAACTTATTTATTTTGTATATTGTGGATACATATTTGTTTACATATTCGTCTAGTTCAATCTTTGATTTGTTTTGTTGTTTTATTTTTGTTGTTTTGTTACTTTGTTTTACGTCAACATGCACTTGTACATATATGTGCACTAATGGATTCTTTTTTTGGATTTTTGGGGCACTTGTAAATAAATACCACCATACTCTAAAGAGTGTTACGGGTTGAGCCATCATTTTGTTTATTTTTTCCCGGACTGTAACACGTCCGCAGTAGACTCGAGGTGACCCAGTTGGCCCTGCCAAAGGTCCACTGCATCACAATATTAAAAAAGAAAAATCACGCACGTGATGAAAAACTTTAATTTCTGGAACTTAATAAGAAAACAGCCAAGCCACCTAATGACATAAAAGTTGTAACAGATAAATGAAATGTACTGTTTGCTACACGATTCCCAATTGATTCCGAATTATTTCAATTATTTCACGATTTGTAGTATTTGTACAGGCTTTACATTTTATTTAAATCTTGTAATTAGCAATTTATTACAATTTACCTGTGAAGCAGATTTGTTACTTGACAACATTAATGAGTTTTTTAAGGGTGGCGCTTAAGAAAAAAAAAACATAATTGTAATAGATAATAGTAATACTTATTAAAAGATAATTCTACTACTAATATTAACTAGGGCCGGGACATTAACGCGTTAATTAAGATTAATTAATTACAGACTTTAACGCGTTAATTTACACAAAAAATAATTTTAATCGCACTTATTTTTGCACCGCGGAACGTTTCTCACTGGATGAGTTTCGGCGGACCGATTATACTGGAGCACCAACTAGCGTTCATGATGAAGAAGCTGACGAGATCGCTTGCTTCATAGGGGTGGAACGGTACATGTATTCGTATCGAACCGAAACGGTACGGGCGTCACGGTTCGGTGCACGAATTTACACGGAGAATACACGGTATAAAAATATATAAAACTCGCGTGCAAATTAATTAATGTAATGCGGAACTACTGTTAGATATGCGGGTTCTTTAGGGACACATAATCTGTACCATCGGCTTAGCTCTGAACGCGCGTTCACTTCAAACGTTGGCTTTATAGGTGCGTCCTATTCGCTTTGGAGTAGCGTCGAACTAGACGCGGATTTGATGCTCTATTCCGTGTTTGGTGTGACCGCATAATGAAGGCTGCGATGTCAAGATTGCAATGCTGGACTGTGTGTGTGTGTGTGTGTGTGTGTGTGTGTGTGTGTGTGTGTGTGTGTGTGTGTGTGTGTGTGTGTGTGTGTGTGTGTGTGTGTGTGTGTGTGTGTGTGTGTGTGTGTGTGTGTGTGTGTGTGTGTGTGTGTGTGTGTGTGTGTGTGTGTGAGACAGAGAGAGAGAGAGAGAGGCGCGCGACCGAACAGTGGAAACATAAAAAAAAACATACTCCGTAATTTTGTTCATACAGATCATTAAACCTGCAACGTGTTTACTTATATTTGTGTACACTCGCAATAAAACACAACATTGTGCACACTGTAAACTCTTATCAAACTGTAACCTACAACTGTCACTCAACCAAAAACACACACACACACACACACACACACACACACACTGTTTTAAAAGAAAAACATATTTATCCGACTCCATTTCAAAACAGTCTGTGGGTCCCATCTTCTTTTGGACATTCATCATATTGCATTGGTTTTCATTTCTCGTCCTCGGAGCACTAATCTTACACATTCTACATTGATTAAAAAAGAAAATCGAATGCGTTTTTAATGGTAGTATTATTTTAACAGAAATCAATTATTTATAATTCAGATGAGAATAATGTTACATTGTTAATTAATAATGTTAATTAAAATTAAGGAAAACAAATATATTGATCTGAAATATAGCAAATTAATTTTAAATTAATTCAGGTACAATTACCAAACATATCGCAAGGTCTTTTTGTCTTTTCATTAAAATAATTAATAAACTAATTATATAAAACAATTGTCAGTGCACTACAAATAAACTGGTTCTATGCCTTTATATAATAAAACTTATTTAAAAAATACAATGCCTTCTGCATTTTTGTTTTGCTTTTCCCTCCATTGTACCGAAATCGTACCGAACCGTGATGTCTGAACCGAGGTATGAACCGAACCGTGACTTCTGTGTACCGTTCCACCCCTATTGCTTCATAGATCGCTTTGGTTGGTCCTGTGGATGGGAAATTTTGTTATAAAAAACGAACGGATGGAAGCGTCGATAAGAGCATGGTTGTGTGCAAGTTATGTAACAAGGAATTCGCTATTGCTATTAGTGTAGCTATTGCTACACTTAATGGCAAAAATTGCACTGGTCTGCTGGACTTGGTTGAACAAAAATAAACAATATGTTGTTGATTAAGCTTATGTATTGTCATTATTCAATGGTATACTAAAAATCCATGTGAAAAAAATTACTTCTCACTTTTCTAAGGTCAAATATTTATGCAATTAAAATGCGATTAATTTCGATTAATTAATTACAAAGCCTCTAATTAATTAGATTCATTTTTTTAATCGAGTCCCGGCCCTAATATTAACAATATGCAATGCCAGCCAATGGGATTGCCGTTAACGCATTATTTGCCACCAATACCGGAGAAACCGGTTAATTGTAAATATATCTATTAAAATACTGATATTCGGGTCTATAACTCCTCCCCAGACTTAATGTAATGTAAATGTCATTTTCAGTCAGAACACATTTCACATTTCAGGATTTTGAATATCAGAAGGGTCCAGATATTTTGCATGCCAAATATCTCACGGGCTTCGGCGACTCATCTGCGATTCTCTCAGATCGCGTCTCTTCACACGGTGTGATTGTCACTCCTGTGAAAAAGTACTGATTTGGCTCAGATTTCGACCATTTGTTGGCGATTTCGCAAAACCTGTCGGCGAGTGAAGATGGGGGCTAAAATCGTGCTGTGTGAACTCGGCATAAGGCTCTCTCTCTCTCTCTCTCTCTCTCTCTCTCTCTCTCTCTCTCTCTCTCTCTCTCTCTCTCGTTGCGTGTGTGTGAGAAACGGCGATCTCAGCAAAGCAACGGCGAGTCGTGCGCCTTCACACTAGAGTTTCCGGTACGTCGAATACAGTTACTATGCGCTTCCATTAAGCTGAATTGAAATTTGACAGATCAGTTGATGGAGAGTGAGACTCTCAAGCGCTCAGTGTTCAGCAAGTGAAAATATATTTATGCTAAACTTATACTTGGCCTCTAACACACACACACACAAGTATTTATTAGGCAGTGGCTAATGATAGACATGATTTAGTCGCCAATAGGGAAGAAGTTATTTACTCTCATTGTAGAGGGTTGATCATGGGGAGGGTCAACAATGAAATCCAGCTAATCGAGTAATCCACGTACAAAGAATGGGTCCCTGGTGTCCACTACAGAGGACATAGCATAAAATATTTTTTCTACAAAAAAACAACTAAATTCTCATACAAAAAAAGTTCTGGTCCTTAGGAAGATATAACAATACATAAAAAACTAGATACTAGAAGAAAGTAAACTAGGTTTGTGCTACATTAAGAATGAAATTTATTTCTTTATGTTTCTCTTTTGACCTTTAATTTAATTTTGGGAATTTAATGTTGATTTTAGACTCAATAGAAGTGAATGAAGACAAACGGCATCTGTTTCAAAAATCTCATCATTTCAAAGGTGAAGATGGAAATGCAGTCGTTTCAAAGACTGAAGAGAATTTCACACAAAAAACAAGCTGGAAAATCTGGAGTCAAAGGATCTTTCACCTGCTCTGAGTGTGGAAAGAGTTACGTGCATAAACCAGACCTTAAGAGGCACATGAGAATTCACACTGGAGAAAATCTGTTTGCATGCACTCAGTGTGGAAAGAGTTTTATACATAAAAGAAACTTAAATGACCACATGAGAATTCACACCGGAGAAAAACCTTTCACCTGCACTCAGTGTGGAAAGAGTTTCACTTACAAAAGAAATCTCAATGATCATCTGCACACTCACTCTGGAGTGAGATCATTCAGCTGTGATCAGTGTGATAAAACATTTGTTGTGGCATCAGGCTTAAAAACACACCTTAAAGTTCATGCTGGTGCGAAGCCTCATGTTTGCTCTTTTTGTGGAAATAGTTTTTCACTACTGAAAAATTTACAAGTTCACCAGCGTATTCATACTGGTGTGAGACCTCATGTCTGCTTTGACTGTGGGAAGAGCTATAGTACATCGAGCAACTTAAAAACACACCAGAGAATTCATACTGGAGAGAAACCGTACAAGTGCTCACACTGTGGAAAGAGTTTCTCTCAGTCAGGAGTCATGAAAGCTCATGAGAGAGTTCATACTGGAGAGAAGCCGCACCAGTGCTCTTCATGTGGGAAGAGTTTCACCTTCTCTTCTAATCTACTGAAACATAAGAAAAAGCTTTGTTTGTGAGTGAAAACACTTGTGAAACAATGGCGGCGTCAGTCCTTTAAAACTCTGAATGTTCCATGAGCTGTTCAATGAAGGCTGCGTTTACACTTGGCATTAAGATGCGATCACCATGAAGCCAATCAGGACACGGCCCGTTTACACCTGTCCACTGTATTTGGATAACAGATAACAGATCTCGCGTTCTCGCAAAAAAAAGACCTGAATTGTTGGGTTTTCTTTTAAAAACAGTATTCAATTGGGGGTAGATTATACAAATCTCGCAAAATGAGGAAGGGTGAAGAAGCTGCAAGTACTAATAATGTGGATAGATTCCATAATGAAAACGGTACAGAGAAATGTATCCGAGAACGTTGCCAGCTGTGTTAAGAAAAATGTGTGGTCTTTACAGAAAATGAATGGTTCTGCAACTTTAGGATGCGAAAGCAAACATTTCCCTTTATTTGCGTTGTACTTCGCACTCGACTGTATCGCAAAACCACACAGCTTACGTGCAGCAATTTCTGGAGAGAGGAGGGGGAATAATGACAGTGGGGGGTTGTGTGACGTGCAGACATGATGACTGGATTGCGTTTACATTACACTGAGATCCGATCACAATGCGTCCTCGACTACCTCCGGACCGGGACACGCTGATCGGATAACATTCCAGAAGCGCGTTTACACTTGTCTTTTCAATGTGTATGTGGACAACATCCGGATACAGGTCGCATGTTAATGCCAAGTGTAAACGCAGCCAATGTTAGAACTCACTCTTGAAGTGTGGATGAAAATATATTGAAATCAGTCAAGTTTGGTCATGGGTAGTTTATGGTTGAATGGGGTTTATATGGCCAATAATGTTGTATGTAATGTACTTATTTCTATGAGAAACGAAAAGGAACAAAACTTAAGTGACTTATTAATGAATAAATTAACTTTTGTTTATATGTAACCAAAAGGGTTTTGACATTGTATACAACACTGTTAAATAACTCTATTGCAGACTTTTGGTCAATGTTGATTAGGTTAAAAATAAATTCTTGCAAAAGAAAAAAATCCTTATTAATAATAAAATAGGCAGGTTTAGTGATTTGTAAAAAACAAATCAGTACACTCATAAACAGACCGTCTAGACAGGGAGAACTAGGCCTATTCCAACAATTAGCAAATTAGCTTTCTTTCGTAATATGGGCTCATATGCCTTTCTAATAGTGTGCTTTAATAGTAAGGTATTTACTGAGTTTGGTCTTTTAATATCACTGTACATTAAGCCACATTCCACGTTAAGCATTTTCTTTATAACAGTTTTCTATGGAAGGAAAACGCTTAAATGCATTGCATTTATATTCTGGACTAATCTGCTGTCCTGTACATAGTATGCTTTATTAGTATGGTGTTTACTGAGTTAGGTCTTTTAATATCACTGCTTGGAGTAAAAACATAATTCACGCAAATGAGAACTCAAGACACGCACATACATTTGAACATCTGACCTCTCTTATTATATTTCTTAATATGCCATATTTGGTAGGGGTTGATATTTGAGTGCTATGATAAGATAGACTGGACACCGTGGATAATTCTGCTTTATCGTTTGTATAAATATGACCATTCTTCCTTAATAAACTTGAAAATATTATGGTACCACACTGTCTCTGTGTCTGCTTGATCATTTCCTGAGATCTTGCATTGCTGCTGCCACACATCACAGGGCTTGAGGCGCCTATTTCCAACTGATGACTGATAGCTTTGAGGCTGGAGATAGTCTCCCTAAAATAAATCTAACAGATCTGGGGGCTCGTCCGGGATATTTGATAGATTTGAACTGACAGAGTGTGTCTGCTTCCCGGACAACGTTAGGAAGACTACTCGAAAGTTTTGGTGCTAAATAGGAAAAGGATCTACCGCCAGCAGTCGATTTTGATATTCTAGGTATTATCAACTGGCCAGAATTTTGAGATTGCCATAGACGTGAAGGACTATGATGCGTTAAGAGCTCGCTCAAGTACTGCGGAGCTAAACCATTTAGTGCTTTGTAAGTAATCAGCAATATTTTAAAATGTATACGATGTTTAATAGGCAGCCAATGCAGTGTTGACAGAACCGGGCTTCTGTGTTGATACTTCCTGGTTCTGGTAAGAACTCGAGCTGCTGCGTTTTGGACAAGCTGTAGTTTTTTTATTAAGCGTGCAGGGCTATCCTTAAATCCTAATCTAGCCTTGATGTCATGAACGCATGAACTAACTGTTCCGCATTTTTTATTGAGAGCATATGACGTAATTTAGATATATTTTTAAGATGGAAAAAATATGGTTTTACAGATACTAGACACCTGACTTTCAAATGAAAGATTGCTATCAAAGCAATCAGCACCCAGGTTCCTAACTGACGACGAAGAATTGACAGAGCAGCCATCAAGTGTTAGACAGTATTCTGGGTTATTACGTGAGGACGTTTTTTGTTCAATAATTAGAATCTCTATTTTTTCAGTATTAAGTAATAGGAAGTTACTAGTCATCCAGTTTTTTATATCAGCTATGCATTCTGTTAGTTTTGTGAATTGGTCGTTTCGTCGGGGCGCGAAGAAATATAAGGCTGCGTATCATCAGAATAATAGTGAAAACTAATGCCATTCTTCCTGATATCTCCTGATGGTAGCATGTACATAGTGAACAGCAGCGGTCCTAGTACTGATCCTTGTGGTACTCCATACTTAATTTGTGATCGATAAGACATCTCTTCATTTACTGCTACAAACTGATGATAAGGGTCAGATAAGTATGATTTAAACCATGCTAATGCAATTCCACTAATGGCAACATCATTTTCGAGTCTATTTAACAGAATGTTGTGGTCGATGGTATCAAATGCAGCACTAAGATCGAGTAACACTAATAGAGAGATACAACCACGATCAGATAAGAGCAAATCATGTGTGTCTCTGATGAGAGCTGTCTCGGTACTATGATATGGTCTAAATCCTGACTGGAAATCCTTGCAGATATCATTTCTTTCTAAAAAGGAACATTGTTGTGAGGATACTGTCTTTTCTAGTATCTTAGACAGAAAAGGTAGTTTTGAGATCTGCCTCTAATTGAATAATTCTGTAGGATCAAGTTGTGTTTTTTTAACACGCGGGTTAAAGGGCACCTATTATGGAATTTTGAAAATTACGTTTCATGTAGTGTGTAACATAGATCTAAGTGAACAAAAACATCCTGCAAAGTTTTATATATGAAAGTTCACCGGAAAAAAAAGTTATTGTCTCTCAAAAGTATGAGTCGACTCTGAGTCAATTTAATTAATCGTTTTTCCAATGAGTCATTTTCCTTTTCGTTGTGACGTCAAGACGAAAAATTTTCAAATTGGCCGCGCCCATTCATTACGCGCGCGGACACCAGGGAAAACTTGAAAACACCATGTCGACAACAAGACGCTGTGTTCTGAAGTGTGAATCTAAAGCAACCTTTTTTTCACTGCCCAGGGACGAGCATGTGAAGAATCAGTGGCTTTACTACTTACTATACCACACAAGTATAGCCCGAACCTTGTGCTGTGTTCACGTCATTTTAATGACGATTGCTTTACAAATATAAATGCATTCAAGTGTGGATTTGCGAGCCGGTTGATACAATTTTCCACACTTAGCAAGCCATAATCCATTAATGGTGATGGGCGTTCCGTTTCCGACAATTAGTCGTTGAACGAATCATTTGGGAGCCGGTGAGCAAATCAGGTAAAAATAAATGCATATTATAAGACAACAAAAGGTTTTTTTTTGTCATTGCATGCATGTAAAACTGTTGTTGGGGACTCCTAAAACAATATTAGGAACATTTTAAATGCCATAATAGGTGCCCTTTAATCGTAAATTGATCAGCCAGCTTAAAAGTTTTTGGTACGTATCCTAATGACAAATATGAGTTAATGATAATAAGAAGAGGATCTATGATCTCTGGAAGCATCTCTTTCAATATCTTAGTCGGTACAGGGTCTAACATACATGTTGAATGAATAACACCCCCACACAATTGGAAACAACCCCTTACCATAATAGCCCCTCTACAAAACTTTACACTTAGTACAATCCTGTCAGGCAAGTAACGTTCTCCTGGCAACCGCCAAACCCTGCCAGACAGAGAAGCGTGATTCGTCACTCCAGAGAACACGTCTCCACTGCCAGTTGTTGACTGTCAACTATACTTGTTTCCCAGCTTGGGGAGAAAGTTTGAGCTTAAGTTTTATTATTTCAAGGTTTGCTTAATGTTATCAGGGATGGTACAGGAATTCATCCAATAAGAAAAATACATTACATAATTTATGGACTTTTTCAGGGAACAAAAAGCAATATTCTTTCCGCCTTTGCCTTGCACTCCTGCAAGTCGGGCGCAACTACCCAGTGTCAGAGGGGTATGCAGCAACAATTTTGCCCCAAGAGAGAGAGAGATGTGACCCTGTAATTACAGCTTCCATGTCACCCAACAGATGTAACTATAGCCTGTATGTCTGACAGATGACAAAATATATGAATGATTCCATGGTAAACCAAATTTATTGCATAATTTATGTTTTCCAGCTTCTAATCATTTATTGTGCATGCTACCTTATATTTATCAGGTGTTATTTTACCTTAATAAAATTGAGATATGTCATGCATGGGATTGTTAGGGTTTAACCAAAATCTAAATGTAGTTATCAGCAACATTAGTTTGTATTAAGTTAGCAAACACTAGCCAGTCTGCAAATCTATGCATGATTCCATGGTAAACTAGAGATATTGCATTAGTTGTTTTCCAGATTTTTGTCATTTATTGTATATGCTATCTTATATTTTCCCATTTTCAGCTCAGCAACCTCGGTTTTGCATATTCTTAGCTAGCCGTAAAGTAATTTAAACCCCCATTTGGCTGCTACATTCCAGTGTTGGCAAACCCTAGGTAGTCTGTTAACATGAATATTTGCAAGACTCCAAGCACAGACGTCACACTTTAAATCCTACCTGTTGCCTTTCACCATCCACTTAATTTAGCTGCTTTTCAACGACAACTCACTACTCGTACCT